GTCCACTTTTTCCCCACTTTGTCCCACTGCACATGCCATGGTTATGTTTGCAGTCGAATAAACAGCATCAATTCATCACATGCTGCTGCCTCTGCTGCTGCAACACGACACAAAAAAAAAAAATATAAATGTGTAGAGGCAACACAAAATGGCGCCACCAGGCTCAGGATATGCGGGATATACCCACCCACAGCCTCAAAAAAAAAAAATATTAAGAAAAAGTGCAACCTCTATTGGTGGCCATTTTTTTCCATTCTCTTCTCTTTTGAAATTTTTTTCTTTTCTTTTTTTTTTTGGTGGCATCAACTCGGGGCACTAAATCAACATTTCACTTTGATGAATGATGACCAATGTCCAGGCGCGGGTGTCCTCGCCTCGATAGAGTCCTGCAGCGCAGCATGCAATACACAAAGAGGCAAAAAAAAAATGAGAGGAAAAAAATGGCAAAACAAGCAGAAAACTCGAGGAAAAAAATATACGTCGTTGGGCTCACACACAGAAGGCATAAGGATAATAGATAGACAGCAAGCTGCAGGACACCAACAGGCAGCAACAACAAGAGCAAGCCAGAGAGGAGGCTGAAAATAGACACAAACACTAATCGAATTATTGCCACTGCAGAGGAGCAGCCACCACCATATCCTTTTGCAACACGGAATACGGATATGTACATACACGTCTATGGTAGCATTGCATCCTTCTTGTTTTTGCCTTTTGTAATTAAAAAAGGAAAATATCGCTATGGACGCAAAAAATGCGCCAAAAGAAATGAAACCTATGTACAGCCATATAGTGCATATGCATATGGATATTCGGATATGTGGGATATATGGTTTGATATATGCGTTTGTCGAGGAAGTCGGGGCGAGCGAGTGGATGGGAGTTAGATGCCATCGATGGTGCTGACCAACCAAAATCGAACATGGCTAACCGAAAAAATTCACAAGGATCTGTATAGGACTCGCCCAGTTTTTCAGTTGCCAGTTGCCAGGCACTCTCTCACTATTTTTTTTTGTTCTTCTTCCCCATGTACCGCAATAAACAAAAAAAAAAATAAAGAACGAAAGCATTAATTAAATGTCCCCAACAGAAACCGGAACTAAAGTAAGAAAAAATATTCGCTTGCTACATGGAATTGCTAATCAATGCAGCAGATTCGCAAAAGGTGAATGTCAGGAATAGGGAGGGCGTTGGGACAAAAATATGGACTCCATGAGGGGATTACTTTTTTAGCTTTGAGCTCAGTTCTGAGCTCCACTTAAGCCCTCTTTACCGGCGACTTATAGTTCTCTTCAGGAGCTTAAGTATCTACATCACTTAGTGCTAACTTAGCATACAGAGTTTTGAGTATTTTTTCAAAAGGGAATTCTAAGATAGATATTTAACTAGGAATTGTATTAAAAAATACACATTTTAATAAATTACTAAGTAAAAAAAAATACTCATTTTAAAATACTTCACTATTATAACATTAATGTATTATAAATAACACTTTTGAAAATTTTAATATATATGTTTGAGCAACACTGAATTTCACAGAGGAGTACCGGGTATCACTTCCGTAGTTGTACCGTATTTTGGTATTATTCTAGTATTTTTACTTTTACTTTCGCGGTCTCGTGTTCAGAGCCTTTAAATATGAAATTTCAAAAATTTCAAATATTTTCTTAGAAATTATACGATTACAATGTTTAGCAAATTAATAAAAATACGAAAAATACTTACCAGTATTTTACGATGAAGGACGTATATTTCTTCTGAAAATAAATATAAAAAAATTAAATATGTATATTAATAAGATTTTATAAAATATATAAATATAGTACTGCATATTTTATATAAAAGAAGTTGATATACAATAATATATTAAATTTCATTAAATTTCTCCCCTTTTCTATAACCTTTTAAAGGTTGTTTAGCTCATTTATTCCAAGCATGTGTAGGTTGTTAAAATATTAGCATTAGGGCTGTAGTTTTTGCTGAAAATATATTCCCCGGCCATGGCTCTCCATTGCATTGATACATTTCGTTTTGTGATATAAAAGATTTACAGTTTGCGACATTAAAGTGTCACGTTTTTCATGGTCGCAAGACCAGGTCGGAGCCGGGACGAGACGGGACATGTTGAACTTTTCTGGTTGATATTGCAATTGCTGTTGCAACAGTTGCTGTTGCGCATGTGCAACAGCCTCGGTCCCGGCTGCCTTTCGCCTCCCTCTCACAGCAGTGCCTGCAGCATATTGCAGTGTACGAGTATATGAAAGATTTAAAGTTTGCAACATAAAAATGTCACGTTTTTCATGGTCGCCACAAAGACCGACAAGCCATGTTGAACTTTTCTGGCTGATGTTGCTGTTGCAGTTTCAGGCTGCTGCTGCTGCACATGCGCAACTGTTGCACCCGCAACCGTCCCTCATCCCAGTCTCCCCCGCCTAAGATCTGCCTGTCTCGGGTATTCCTTCTCACCAAAAGTGAGTATATTCCTTTGACACTGACAGACTTGGATGAAATTTGGCATTCCAAGGTCTAAAAATGTATTTTCGGTTTATTTTTAGTTAATTAGTAAAATAAGTTATAAGCCCTAAATATTTAAATTTTATGCTGTAAACTAAGGTGCTCTGTTTTCTAGGATTACTTCTTAAAAGCATATAAAAAAATATATATTAAATGATACTTGCTAAAAATAGTTAACAAATAAATAAACTTTCTGTGGTTACCCTAATATGAACATCCTTTATAAAAAACAATATATGTATAAATAAACTTAAAATTCAACTTAACTTTAGTTTATTTATAGTCAAATGTAAGTTTGTAAATAGTTATAGTTTTTAAGAATCTTATTTGTTTCGCTTACGGAAGTTAATAGTTGAGGTTCTAATAATAATTATCATATACTTCGACTGCTTCCAACTATTTTCTCTCAGTGCCTCACAACTTCGGTCTAACTAACTTTAGTCAGTCTATTTATGTTACAATTTGGTGGCTGCCAAGCGAAAAAATGTTGCCAACTTTGCGTTTGTTTTTTACTTTTTTTGTTTTTTGTGCGAAGCTGGGTTTTGCGTTCTTTATTTTTGTTGGTCGCTTTTTTAGTGCTTTTGTTAGCCTGGCTTGGTTTCTTTTTCGGGCCAGCTTGTTTGACAATGCGCGTCGTGACATCTGCCAAGGCTCACTCGAATCGCATCGAATCGGGCTCGAGTTCAGGTGGCGAGAGCCAAGAAAGGGGCTTATTTTTTGGATAAACGCCAGAGCAACAAAGCGCCCCTTTTTTGAGAAACGAGTTCCCAATACTCGAGCCGTCTTTTATTAATTTAGGAAGAAAAAAAAAAGAGGGGAAGGCACTGTACGCAATGAAGATGCTGTCTTCACTTCATACGTTTTATTGTGGGATCTGCCACTGCCACTGCAAGATGACAATGATGTTCTCTGCTGAAATAACAAATTGTCCATCCAATAAAAGTAGAACTATTTAGATTAATTTTCGGGTTCGTTTTAATTATAAATAGGAAATAAGTTAAACAATTACAGTATTCATTAAAAAGAATAAAACCAATGATGACACCAAAGGAGGATGAAGCATCAAGATTCCATGGTTGATATGTTCCAAAATGTTTCAAAAAGACCAATGATGCAACCAAAGGAAGAGGAAGAAATAAGATCCCATGGTTGATCTGTGAAATAGACTCCATTAACTATTAATGATTTGAAAGTCTAAAAACATTTAACTTACGGAAATCATTAAATATGAAGCTAAAAAAAATGACCATAAAATCATCAGCAGCAGCAACAAAGACAAAAGAATTAAGAGCTAGGACAGAAAAAATATAATTAAAAAAATAAGGTTTTAAGTTATAAATTTAATACACACAAATGGTCAATCAGCTTGAAAAATAGTCTGTTAACAAAACTAAAGAAGGAAATAAGACCCAGGATGCTCCGACGCTTCAAATCTTTCATTCCAACTGCAAAATATAAATAGGAAAAGTATGTAAAAGTTAATATTAAATAATATTTAAGCATCTAAGCAGGTGCATAGGTATGCCAAAAACACTATCCTGCATCCTGCAGAGGCCAAGGCAATAAAATTAAAAAGAAGTTACAAAGGCTTACAAATAAAAATAAATAAAAAAAAATTATCTAATAAAAAAAAAAAATTTTAAATATTAAATACTCACAAATGCCACATCCGTATTACAAAAATTCCGCATGTACCTCTCATCTTTTAATAATTTTTTTTGTCCGTAATAGTTCTTAAGCGTCAACATCTTTCACATCGAGTTGTATCTTTAGGTAAGTACTGGACATTCCTTGATGTATTACATACCATATATAAATATATATTTTGCTATGATTGCTGATATATATGATTGCTGAGGCTGAGGCTTTTTGAAACTTCTTTGCTGCTTTGGTGCTTTAAATGCGGAATTTAATTTTTTTTTGGCAGAAGCATAGCCGGCATCTCTCGGAGAAGGGACATAATGTGACGCGGCTCCTGCAGTTTTTCCATTGAATTATGAGTGACCGCATAGAGGACACATGGAGGTGACAATCGAGACTTACCTAAAGAAACAACTCAATGTTAAAGCCCGTTGAAGCTTAAGAACTATCACGGACAAAAAAAAATTATTTTTAAGAGAATAATCAGATTGAACTTGGAAACTAAATAAAAACAAGTTTTCAGTTAAGATTTCATGGTTTCAGGTCATTACTTACAAAATAATTGGGGAAAGGTGGATCAAGTCAGGAGAAAATCAAAAGAGACGCAGCCTCAAGTGACGTTGGCTCAGATAAGTCTTCAAGAGGTAATATTATTCGAGACATCAACTATGGAGCATATTTTACAAACACTACCTCCAATTATGGCCTCTTGATTGGAAAGGGCGCTCAAATGTCCTCAAAGGGAGCAAAATATAATAAAAATATATATATAATTTTTTTAAAGAAAACTTTCAAACTTACGATATTAGCGCCGGGTTAGTGCCGAAGCAGATGGCCTGCCAGCATCACTTCTGCGTAAAGTGCATAACGCTCTCAATTTGAATTAAGTTTCGAGTGTCAGCAGTCCATGTGTCCCCTTATGCGGTAACCCATAAGTCAAGGGAAAACCTGCAGAAGCCGCATCACATAATGTTCCTTCTCGGAGAGATGCCGGCTTTACTTTTGAAAAAAAAAAACATCTTAAATTCCGCATTTAAATAATGGAACCAAAGCATCAAAGAAGACCCGAAAAGCCTCAGCCTCAACAATCACAGAGCCCAAGGCTCTGTCACAAATCAGAAGGACCCTAATAAATAAATACATAAACATTATAATATTTTTAGGTAAATTTCAAATACTTACGTCTGAAGGAAGGGTCTGATGTGACAGAGCCCTAGGGCAAAAAACAATTAAAGTCCGTATTTAAATACAGGAACCAACTAAATCAGAACCATCCGAACTAAGAAAAAATAAATATTTCTATTTTTTATACTTAAAGGAATGTCTAGTACTTACTCAAATGTACGCAAATGTCCTTAAAGGGAGAAAAATGGGGAGGCCAACTGACTTGAAGGAGTCGACATAGATAACTTCTTGGCCACCACCGATGAGAGCTGCCGGCGGCACGGCATGCCACAACTGCAAGCCCCAGCTGTGCCGCGACTGCGCCGAAGGCCTGCCGCACATGGAGCACCGTTTGACCCGCCAGCTGAACTTCAGTCAGCTGCTGCGCTAGCTACTCGACCTCGAGCTGGACAAGATCAAGGTTCTTGCCACCAAGACATGCGGAGGTGTGAGAGGCGTGCAACCACGTCCAGTTGCAGGCCAAGCGCGGCATATTGGAGCACAAGCCGTCCATGGTGGCATGCCAGATGCGCGGTTGGATCGTCCATTGACCGATTGTCCGGTTGGATTGACCGACCCACCAGACATCTTCCGGGAAACAACATAGTCCAGTTGATCTACAAGAAGCGCCAACGTGGAGTTGCACGTCAACTGTCGGATGTGGGCAGCAATCCAAAAGAGTCGCATTAAGGTGATTTTTAATAGAATTCAGAGGAATAAAATAACTGCAGAGGATAATTAATAACAATGTTATAAAAAATATATACAACGTATACTAGTAAGAAAATAAAGAAAATTTTGTTTTTAAAAAAGACTTGTGGAAAATAAGTGTAAAGTTCTTACACAGAAAATCAGGAACTATTTGGTGGCACAACTGCAAGCGCCAGATGTGCCGCGAGTGCGCCGAAGGCCTGCAGGACATGGAGCACCGTTTGTCCCGCCAGCTGAACTTCAACCAGCTGCTGCGCGAGTTACTCCACCTCGAGCTGGACAAGATCAAGGTTCTCACCATCAAGGCTGACGAATATGCCGTGCGCGATATGAGCCTCATGCAGCAGGCGTGTGAGGCGTGCAACCACGTACAGTTGCATAGAATAGAATTCAGAGGAATAAAATAACTGCCGAGGATAATTAATAATAATGTTATAAAAAATATGCACAAAATATACTTGTAAGAAAATAAAAATTAAAATTTTTTTAAAAAAAGACTTTTGGAAAATAAGTGTAAAGTTCTTACACAGAAAATCAGGAACTATTTGGTGGCACAACTGCAAGCGCCAGATGTGCCGCGAGTGCGCCGAAGGCCTGCAGGACATGGAGCACCGTTTGTCCCGTCAGCTGAACTTCAACCAGCTGCTGCGCAAGTTACTCTACCTCGAGCTGGACAAGATCAAGGTTCTCACCATCAAGGCTGACGAATATGCCGTGCGCGATATGAGCCTCATGCAGCAGGCGTGCAACCACGTACAGTTGCATAGAATAGAATTCAGAGGAATAAAATAACTGCAGAGGATAATTAATAATAATGTTATAAAAAATATGCACAAAATATACTTGTAAGAAAATAAAAATGAAAATTTTTTTAAAAAAAGACTTGTGGAAAATAAGTGTAAAGTTCTTACACAGAAAATCAGGAACTATTTGGTGGCACAACTGCAAGCGCCAGATTGCCGCGAGTGCGCCGAAGGCCTGCAGGACATGGAGCACCGTTTGTCCCGCCAGCTGAACTTCAACCAGCTGCTGCCCGAGTTGCTCCACCTCGAGCTGGACAAGATCAAGGTTCTCACCATCAAGGCTGACGAATATGCCGTGCGCGATATGAGCCTCATGCAGCAGGCGTGTGAGGCGTGCAACCACGTACAGTTGCATAGAATAGAATTCAGAGGAATAAAATAACTGCAGAGGATAATTAATAATAATGTTATAAAAAATATGCACAAAATATACTTGTAAGAAAATAAAAATTAAAATTTTTTTAAAAAAAGACTTTTGGAAAATAAGTGTAAAGTTCTTACACAGAAAATCAGGAACTATTTGGTGGCACAACTGCAAGCGCCAGATGTGCCGCGAGTGCGCCGAAGGCCTGCAAGACATGGAGCACCGTTTGTCCCGCCAGCTGAACTTCAACCAGCTGCTGCGCAAGTTACTCTACCTCGAGCTGGACAAGATCAAGGTTCTCACCATCAAGGCTGACGAATATGCCGTGCGCGATATGAGCCTCATGCAGCAGGCGTGCAACCACGTACAGTTGCATAGAATAGAATTCAGAGGAATAAAATAACTGCAGAGGATAATTAATAATAATGTTATAAAAAATATGCACAAAATATACTTGTAAGAAAATAAAAATGAAAATTTTTTTAAAAAAAGACTTGTGGAATATAAGTGTAAAGTTCTTACACAGAAAATCAGGAACTATTTGGTGGCACAACTGCAAGCGCCAGATGTGCCGCGAGTGCGCCGAAGGCCTGCAGGACATGGAGCACCGTTTGTCCCGCCAGCTGAACTTCAACCAGCTGCTGCGCAAGTTACTCTACCTCGAGCTGGACAAGATCAAGGTTCTCACCATCAAGGCTGACGAATATGCCGTGCGCGATATGAGCCTCATGCAGCAGGCGTGCAACCACGTACAGTTGCATAGAATAGAATTCAGAGGAATAAAATAACTGCAGAGGATAATTAATAATAATGTTATAAAAAATATGCACAAAATATACTTGTAAGAAAATAAAAATGAAAATTTTTTTAAAAAAAGACTTGTGGAATATAAGTGTAAAGTTCTTACACAGAAAATCAGGAACTATTTGGTGGCACAACTGCAAGCGCCAGCTGTGCCGCGAGTGCGCCGAAGGCCTGCAGGACATGGGGCACCATTTGACCCGCCAGCTGAACTTCAACCAGAAGCTGCACGAGCTACTCGATTTCGAGCTGGACAAGATCATGGTTCTCGCCACCAAGGCTGATGAATATGCCGCAGGCGCCTCATGCAGCAGGCGTGTGAGGCGTGCAACCACGTCCAGTTGCAGGTCAAGATGGTGGCTTGCCAGATGCGCGGTTGGATTGTCCATTGACCGATTTTCCGGTTAGATTGACCGACCCACCAGACATCTTCCGGGAAACAACATAGTCCAGTTGATCTACAAGAAGCGCCAACGTGGAGGTGCACGTCAACCGTCGGATGTGGGCAGCAATCCAAGAGAGTCGCATTAAGGTGATTTTTAATAGAATTCAGAGGAATAAAATAACTGCAGAGGATAATTAATAATAATGTTATAAAAAATATGCACAAAATATACTTGTAAGAAAATAAAAATGAAAATTTTTTTAAAAAAAGACTTGTGGAATATAAGTGTAAAGTTCTTACACAGAAAATCAGGAACTATTTGGTGGCACAACTGCAAGCGCCAGATGTGCCGCGAGTGCGCCGAAGGCCTGCAGGACATGGAGCACCGTTTGTCCCGCCAGCTGAACTTCAACCAGCTGCTGCCCGAGTTGCTCCACCTCGAGCTGGACAAGATCAAGGTTCTCACCATCAAGGCTGACGAATATGCCGTGCGCGATATGAGCCTCATGCAGCAGGCGTGTGAGGCGTGCAACCACGTACAGTTGCATAGAATAGAATTCAGAGGAATAAAATAACTGCAGAGGATAATAAATAATAATGTTATAAAAAATATGCACAAAATATACTTGCAAGAAAATAAAAATGAAAATAAAAATATAAAAATGAAAATTTAAAAAAAAAAAAAAAAGACTTTTGGAAAATAAGTGTAAAGTTCTTACACAGAAAATCAGGAACTATTTGGTGGCACAACTGCAAGCGCCAGATTGCCGCGAGTGCGCCGAAGGCCTGCAGGACATGGAGCACCGTTTGTCCCGCCAGCTGAACTTCAACCAGCTGCTGCCCGAGTTGCTCCACCTCGAGCTGGACAAGATCAAGGTTCTCACCATCAAGGCTGACGAATATGCCGTGCGCGATATGAGCCTCATGCAGCAGGCGTGCAACCACGTACAGTTGCATAGAATAGAATTCAGAGGAATAAAATAACTGCAGAGGATAATTAATAATAATGTTATAAAAAATATGCACAAAATATACTTGTAAGAAAATAAAAATGAAAATTTTTTTAAAAAAGACTTGTGGAATATAAGTGTAAAGTTCTTACACAGAAAATCAGGAACTATTTGGTGGCACAACTGCAAGCGCCAGATGTGCCGCGAGTGCGCCGAAGGCCTGCAGGACATGGAGCACCGTTTGTCCCGCCAGCTGAACTTCAACCAGCTGCTGCGCAAGTTACTCTACCTCGAGCTGGACAAGATCAAGGTTCTCACCATCAAGGCTGACGAATATGCCGTGCGCGATATGAGCCTCATGCAGCAGGCGTGCAACCACGTACAGTTGCATAGAATAGAATTCAGAGGAATAAAATAACTGCAGAGGATAATTAATATTAATGTTATAAAAAATATGTAAAAAATATACTTGAAGGAAAATAAAAATGAAATTAAAAAAAAAAATGACTTAAAAAGGAAAATAGGTGTAAAGTTCTTACACAGAAAATCAGGAACCAATTTTTATTTCACAATTTTTATTTCACCTTTTCTTTTTTTTTATAATTTACATTTATTTTTTATTGATTTTATTTTCATTTTCAAATTTATTTTATTTTCATTTTTTTCAAATTTATTTTCATTTTATTATATTTCATTTAATTTATTATTATTTTTTTTTAAAGACAACTAATCACAACCGAAGCAAAAACGAAACTGATTTTTCTGGGTCCAGAGCTCTCCTTTTATACAGTTTTTGGAACTTCAAAGGCTACTTAGATTTGTTACATTTTCGACCGAATGAAAAGTGCTGAGTCAAGCGATATCGATAGCCGATAATATCAAATGGATTTAAATCAATTTTCAACACTCATGTTTAAATGGAAACACTATTATTCGGATGTTGCATAAGTTAAAATATTAACTATTAGTAATATTAGCTAGGAATTTTAATAAATAGTCTCAAAGCTCTAATTCTGTGAAGAAAATGGGATTCAAGTGTATTGGATTAAAGCCATTTCCAGCACTAATTCCGAAATGATGAGCATTTTCTGTGACCAGTGCTGTGTAGGGTTAAAAAACATGACCATTACCACTTCAAATCTTTAAAAGCAATGACTTTAAAGCTAAGAAAGCTATGACTATTAATATGAATTGCACTGAGAGTCCAAAGACACTTATTTCTCATAAAAACTGGCATTAATATTTATGGCTTTTGTCCATTCCCAACACTCAAAGTTAAATAACAAGCTCTTTTTATGCTCAATGCTGTGAAAGGCTGGAAATAAATAACTTTCCAATGAAAAGCTAAAAAAGCAATGACTATCACTAGAATTCTAAATAAAGAGCCTGAAGCACTCATTCCGCGTAGAAACTGCCATCAGTTTTTTGGAATTTTGGCCATTTCCAACACTGAAACTCAAGCACATGCACTTCCCATGCCCAGTGCTGCCAAAAATTGTTAAAAATTTTCACTTTGAAGCTAAAAAGCATCGACTATTACCAGAAATGTTACTAAAGAGTCCCAAGACACTCATTCAATTTCCGCGTAGAAAATTGCAGCCAAAGGAATCGCATTCCTTCAGCAGATGAACCAGAAAGCCGGCCACGCCCACTAGTGGCAAAGGCGTAAAATATACGCAATTAGCAGGCAGTAAATAAATCGAAAGGCTCCACTTTCGAGGCATTTGGCTGGGAAGGCCCCGCCGCCCAGCCCCTGGACTGATGACATAAGTGTTAATTGAACAAGCCGGCCAGACCCCTCTCCTGCTTGGGTGAGTTGTTCGGAGAGTACTCTTACCACATGTTGCATGTGGCAATTACGCACATCTAATGCAATTTCAATAATTGGGCATCAAATTTATGGAGCTACACCAACAACCGGCGGTGTTGCCACAAATTACGATGTGCGAACATCTTTTGGCCGGGATTCTGATTCAGATTCTGGTTAAAAAGCGGCTATATTTCAGGTGCGAATCTTGGCCACATTTTTTTTTCTCAGACCAGTGTGTGTGTGTTTGAGTGCTCGGGTGCACTCACCTGCAATTATTTCTATTAAAAAAAAAATGGAAAGAAAAATAGTGAAAAGTATGTACATACATAGATGTAAAAATTGTTTTCCATAAAAATATTTCCTATTTGGCCGCCTGAACGCTCTCTTTTGCTTTATAATTGTTTGAAATTTGCATGCGAGCCGTGGCGTTGCGCATATGGGATTCTATTAGGAAAAACATTTCGCAATTGCGTGCTGATTGCTGGTTGCAAGTTGCAACTAGCAAGAACTCGGCACAGAACTTGCCACAAAAAAGAGACTTCCGAAGGCAGAGAAGAACGCTGTGGTGGACGCAGTCTCTTCACGTGGCTTTGTGTTTGTAATGTGAAATTGTGAAATTAAATTTACAAAAAACACAGCCCAATGGGTCTAGTGATGGTAAGCGAAATAATACTTAACGATACTTAGTCTAAATTATAATTATACATTTATAACTAATTATTAAAAATTTAGTAAAATGGGAAACGTCTATTAAAGTCTATAAAAAATATTCTTAAATAAAGAGAATGAAAATCTTGTGAAAAGCCTCTAGAATTATGTCTAGAGGCCCAAATTTCAAGAAAAGAAATATTTGTTAATAATTTTAAGAGCTTTTAGTTAGAGCCACTCACGCTGCCATCACTACCATCAGCCCTCTTGACCAATTGCCGCCCTTGCATGCACCGGATTATTAGTTCCGGCCGCCTGAACGCATTTTCCGCGCACCTTCCCCGATATCCCCACCGCTCTCCATAGTATTAATAATTTTAATTAAGTCTAAAATTAAGCTTTGGCGCGTAATTATGCGAATCGTCCAAAGTCTTGTATGCAAAAACGCTGCACTTAACCCCGTCCCATCCTCCATATCGTCTGCTTCGGCCGACTTACTGGCCAATTACTGCATGCACTCGGGACACGCCCACTCTCCTTTTAAGGCTGCCGCCTTTTGGAATTGCCAGCAAAATCCATGGCTAAAGCTTAAGCAACTAATAATTATAATGAGATAATTCAAATTATTCAGAACAAAGTGTCTATGGAGTAGACGCCTTGGGTCTGGCAGACATACCCTTTGGGGGTTTTATTTTAAATTATTTTAAAAATTCTACCATATTTTTAAAAATTCTATCATGGATCAAGTTTTTAGATCATAATTCCCAGTCATTGTATATATTCTTGATCAGCATCCACAGCACAGTATTTATAACCATTTTAGAGACTATAAGAGATAGAACTAACAGAAGGCTTTGGATGAAGAATCCACTGCATTTTCGTTGATAAAAATTGTATTGATTGTAGATTGTAATCTTAAAGAACAAAAATTTCAGAAACTGGTTTTGGGTTTGTTCTTTTGTTTCGTTGGGTTTCTGGGTAATAAACTATAATGGACTCAAATAACTCATAAAAATGAACTAAGATGTAGACCTCGTAAGGCAACATCTACAAGTATACTGGATTTTGTAAAGATTTTGTATCCTCCCAAAAATTTAAAAAAATTACTATTCGAAAAACGGACTCTGACGCTGATTGTTAGGAAATCAATCTTAAGATACTCCGCTAAATGGTTTGAATAAAAACCGCTAAGATATAAAAATTCGAAGGTCCCATTTCGAGCATCCTGTGTTTATTCCTTAAAAAAAATATACCCATTGTAGGCGGCCACGAAAACAATGTCTAGTTGTAATTTAAGCTTTTACCCAACCCGACTGTCTGTTCCATCAGTTTCATTCTGAAAGCCTCACCGAGAGGTCGAACAGAACAGGCAGAAATCTAAAAAACGTTTCGAGAAAGTTGAAAAAATTTACAGATCAAAAATTTGAATATTATAAGGAAATCGATCGTGAGATATAAACATTGTAAAGTGCCATTGTGAGTAGCCTGGGTTTATCAAAAAAAAAAAAAAAATATACACATCTTAGGCGGGCACGAAAACAATTTATAGTTCTAATTTAAACTCTTACCCAACCCGACTGTCTACTCCATCAGTTTAATTTGGAAAGCCTAGCCGAGAGGTCGTCCAAGCTTCGATCATTTCAACAACGCCATGGAGCACCTTAAGATCAATGAAAGGGTTATTATCGTTCGCTCGAATGGAAACTACCAACAATGCAGAATCATTAAGCTTGACGCAGGGGCCGAGGACTTGGTGACCGTCGAGTGGATGGAAAACTACATGCGTAGTTCCAAGGAGATGCCACTGGAGGAGCTCTTGCTGACCAATCATAAGATGGCCAAGCTCGTACACCCAGGCCAGCCGTGCCCTTCGAGAGACCTAACAGCCCACAAGCGCTATCCTTCGGTAGAGCGCGGGAAGTGCGAGTGAGTGGCGACTCCACCACCCAACAACAAAGACAAGACGACCCCGGATGTCCCATCTCCGAGCTGCAGATGCAGCTGAAGGATGAGGGATCTGGTCCACAAGACAAGCCATAGAAATTGTATTGAGAAGCTAGTTCGAATGTTAAAAAGTTAGAATCTGATAATCAAAAATAGGCTGCTGTGTTGCAAATAGTTTAGTTTTTTTAAAGGGATTTGGGATGGGGGAAGCGACCTGCATCGTTGGGACTGGGGATATCGGACTCAAATTCTGTCAAAATTGTTAAAACTTTGAGTGGAAAATGCATATACAAGGGAAAGTATAAGGCACAGATTCGTATGTATTTAAACCTACCTATATAAAGGATATGGGATATGATAACTTAGGGTAAAACATTTTGGGTTTATAGAATGATACAAAAAAATAGCTTTCTAGTATCTCTGTTGGCCAAAAGCTATGAGCCGCAGCTTGCAAGAATTCGGATCAAAAATCCCCCTCGATCTGGGCTTCAAGGCATATGCCGGATAAAGAATGTTCAAAGATCACAACTACATCTATGTATTACTAGGTATTTATTGCCCTTGCCAAACTCTCTAATTAACCAATCAAAAAAAAATTGAAACTTTGGCAAGATAATTACAATGGCCAAGGCCAAAACATGGCCCAGAATTCCCATCCAAGCCGGAACTGGATAGTAGAGAATGTGGCCCAAACGCGGAGAGATGTGGCAGCCGCCCACCTTGGCAGGCTCGATTGGCTCGAAGCCGCCCCTCTCTGCAACAGCCCATGGGCAAAAGTGCGTAAAAAGGGGTCGGGCTGAGTGAGGGGACTGGTAACGGCAACAATCCAGTTAACAGTAATTGCTGGCGCGTCGTGTTTTCGGACCACCAGTGGATTGATTAACTACGTGTTCGATATTTCAGCGAAGGCCCCTTCAGAGGCCCGCCTCTGGGCCCCCAGCTGTGTCACTCCGCTATTGATAATGCGGCCCAGCCAACCATGTACTGAGAGAAATCTAATGGGGGATTATATTATCATACTTTCATACTACTGATCTTACTACTATCATACCAACATACCATCATACCATCATACTATCTTACTATCATACAATCTTACCATCATACAATCTTTCCATCATACAATCTTTCCTTCATACTATCATGGTATCATTCTGTCATACTATCATACTATCATACCATCATACCATCATATCATCGTACTATCATACTATCATACCATCATATCATCATACTATCATACCATCATATCATCGTACTATCATACTATCATACCATCATATCATCATACCATCATACAATCATACCATCATACCATTATACCATCATAACCATCATATCATCATACAATTATCTATGAATGTCATTCTTCAGTCATTCTTAGAACTTTGTCAACCTACTGTGACTAGGCAATATCCTAGTCCTCAATATTTTTTCTCAGTGCATCTGCAGCCGAGCCAAGTGTTCGGAGAGCTGCAGCCAAGTCCAAATCAAATTTACGTTAATGACCACTCAAATGGACAGCGTAATGGGCCATGTGGCGCTGGACAGAGACGGAACTAGAGAAAGAGACGAAGACGGTGACACTGACAGTGACAGCGATAGGGAAAGGAGATGTAGACCGGGACAGAGACGGAGATAGTAATAGAGAAGGAGAAAGGCCGGCGGAATGAGAGGCTAATGGCATCTGGCTGGTGTTGCGTGCATTTGACATTCTGGCAGCCAATGCCTTCAATAAACGCACTCGAAAAAAAATATTTATTAATATTAAGTTTATTAAGAAAAATTAAGCAAACAGATAGCTGGAGAGGATCTCTTTTTTTCTCCCTGTGTATTGGGGGAACTAGCTGACTCGGCCTGTGGGCGCTTGCCAACGAAATGGGCCTCCCCTTTCTCTCGGAAAACGATTTGCCGGCCAACTCGGTGATAAAATGGAGCAGAAAGTCTTCTTTCTGATTAGACGGGGAAGATCCCGATAAGATATGTTTTTAATAAGCGTCAAATAGGAGACCTTGCACTACTAATACACTCGAAGAAAACTGACCCACTGGCCAATAAATCATTTAAAAACAAATAAATGGAAAACCAGCAGCCCCTGCGATAAGAAAAGTGGATTGTGATGAGCAATAAATCGATTCCAAGTGCCCCCGGGAATCGATCCAGGAGGGGAATGACCTGGTATTAAATTCCCCGAATAATACCGGGGCATGTTAAGGAGTCAGCGATGGCTAATGGATAATGATGATGACGAGGATGAGGATGATGGAAAAGGGGACCCCGGTTCGCTTCGTTTCGATATTTAAACGCATATCCATAAATTGCAATGCCCCGCGGCAATGCCACCAATGCGACTACCTCAGTGGCAAGTGTGGCAAGAGTGGCATGAGTGGCAAGAGTGGCAAGTGGCAAGTGTGGCAAGTGCCAGCTGCCAGCTTATGCTGGGGGATCGCAATGTAACGGATCTCAAGGGTCTTTGGCATTTTTTGGCTGCCGTATCTCGGGGGATTTCGCACCTCCTCTTCTAAAGGATATACCTCTTGGGATTAGGGTTCAATTTTGCACCTGCAGTCTTGTAGCTGCCCCCCCAGCTTGCCACTACAACTTAATTGAATGTTGTTGAGCGTGCGAGGGGCAGCTGCTTATCGGCTGGGCAATTAATTCCAGCGATTTGCTTAGCTGTAAAATTTGTATCTGTAACAGAGTCCCATAGCCTTGTAGCCTTACAGCCTTATATCCATATCCAGATCAAGGGATACCGACTGTGCCGCTGTGCCTTCTGGCTTGGAGGGGGACTTTATTTTCTTTTCTTTTTTCAGTCATTTATTCCAGTACAGATCCAGCTCCAGATCCTGGGGAGTTTTCGGGGTTCGCGTTGCCTGTCAACTGGCCACCACAGAACGTAAATCAAGAAATTTGCTTAACCCACGCGCCACCAACTCCATACCATACAGAGGGAGAAAAGTATTTAAATAATAGCACTAGCCAAGTTATAGTCTAGTTTTTACCTTGAAATAGATGCTATTTTTTTTCTGAAAGTGCCCCTCAACAGGTGCCCCCTTTGGACTGCAACGGGACGCATGCGCCTTGCTCTTCTCTTATTTTGTATTTTTTTTTTTTTTTTTTTTTTGTGGTTGTCTCTGGCAGAGTTGCCAAAAGGCACAATGGGTGGTAAATTGAAGCTTTCAACTTGCGGCTGTCCGGGGCCGTTGTTTTTGTTGGTTTTCGGGGCACACCGTCTTGATTTCAATTCGTTGGCGGCTGTTTTGACAATGTGCACCGCTTTAATTGGAGCCGTGTCATTAGGGGCACGCAATCGCAATCGCAATCCGAACGACAGACGACAGACAGACCACTTGAATGGCAAATGCTTGAATTAGAAATACATTTGAAAGAAATGTCAGCAATGGGCCCAGGGAACAGGTTTTGGCCCACTAGTAGTAGTCCAAAATAGATATAATTTTCATGAATAATTTGTTCACCAAACTTATAAAAGTTGCTGCTAAGACCAACACTCACATGAAGCAGTCGTGGCCGAGCGGTTAAGGCGTCTGACTAGAAATCAGATTCCCTCTGGGAGCGTAGGTTCGAATCCTACCGACTGCGATGCAAACATATCTTTTTTTTCTAATTTGATTAAAATTTAATAAATTAAGTAACAAATCAAAGCTTTAATAAAATATTTAATAAATACCATTCTCCTAATATCACTTTTTCCTGCCTCAATTGATAAAAAATGTTAAAAACAATGACATCATTATCGTTTATAGATCATAAGTTGTCTTCTCTTTCTAATTCAATACCAAACTAGAAGAGCTCCGATCATCTGAAACAAAAAATCAATATTTCAAGGAAAATGATAAAAAAAAACTATAATCTTCTTTGGTTGGTTTTGGGGAACTTGTCGTTGTCTTCCCGACAAAAAAATAGCGAAAATAAAACATCAGAAAGGAAAGAAAAAATAGGGAATAAAATTTCCTGCCACTTGGTGATAAGCAAAAGCAAAGTTTTTACCTTGGCACCCACTCACGAATCCAAGTCCGCCAGTCGATGAAAAACTTTTCGACAGGTCTCGGCAATTTAGGCCGAAATGCCACAAAAAACAGAGACAAGACTGCACCAAAGATAGGAAGTCAAGCAAGAAACCGATTCGGGATACGCTTTTTGTGAAGAAAAATATATGAACTCTTTTTTAAGTATTTTTTATTGGATAATATTTTTTTTCTTTTAAACGTTTCAAATAGGATTAATTTATTTTTGTACATCAAATTTTTTTCCTATTTTTACCTGATTAAAATGAAACGTAAGAAATATTTGTCTTGAGTTGTTTTTAATAAATAAATAGGGTTAATTACATTTTTTCAGTTTTTTTATTAGGTAATAGTCTTTTTTCAAGCTCTTCCAAGTATTTTAAATAAGTTTAATTTATTTATTAAGATACCAAAAGTAAAAACACAAAAAAGTGTGCCCAAACTCCTAAAATTTATTTATATGTATTTGGAAACTTATTAAACACCTTAGCCAACATTAGTAATATTAAACATATATTAAAAATCACAGTGTTTTTGACGCTTTAGAGTGACCACATACTCCTAAAGTTTTGTTTAGTAATTTTTAATAGATAATACTTTTATTTTTAACTCCTGCATGTGTTTTATATAAGCTTAAGTTGTTTTCCAAGTAAAAAACCTAAATCACCTTAATCAAAGCATAAGAAAGTGTAACTAAATTTTTAAAATTTGTAAATTGTTTTCTTCATAAAAATAATATTTTTTCTGCAACCACCTTTGATAATTTCCAATTCCAATTTAGAGTGACCATATACACTCAAAAACTAACCTCAAACTTCTGTCTAATATAGCCAATTTTTAGTTAATTTTTCTACAAAAATCGCACTATCCTGCTAGAAAGAGTATAACAAGTCGGGAAAATTGTCGCCACAAAAGTTTTTGAGGGTCTTCCCTTTCTCCCGTTCCCTGCTCTCCTGCTTCCTCAATGACTTTTGCCCTTTTAGCTGTTGTTGTTTTTGTTGTCCTCGAGGCTTCTCCGTTTCCGTTTCTTTTTGGCAGACGCCGTTATGTCTCGCAAACTTTCAAGGAACTGGTTCTATCCCCACCGCCCCACCACGCGCTCCGGCCGCTCTGTGTGATTCGTTTTG